TTCCGGAAATAACATAGATTCAGGTTTTCAAAAGTGCCCATTGGGCAAAAAATGCAATCTTAATGACATTTTTCGAAAGCAACAAAAGGGCACTCTGCTCCAGGAAAAAGGGTACTTGGCAAAACTTGGGGGCCTGCCCCCCCCCCCCCGTTTCTACGCCCATGATTGCAACTCTATTATAAGCCCAATCCTACCTAATTCTCAACTCTGATCAACCTCTCACAAACACGAATGAAATAGCTGATTACAATACGAGACAGAGAGAATTTAGTGAAATGGCAAAATTTGTACGGTGCGGGGTTTGCAAAAACAACTGCAAACTAATTCTTTCTGTCACTTCCATTTGATCTTATCCTGAGTCGGCCTCAACGGCCTTTGATTAACAATACTGTCATAACACAACAAAATTGACACAGAAAGCGGGATGACATTTTCTCGCGGGCTCGGTTTCGCTAAGCAGGCCAGCCCGGTTTCCACATAAACAGCCCGAGACCAGCCATTTGCCAATTTAATTGGCACGATTTATGTTTGTGAATGATGTATATCAAGGACTTGCTATGGATATGCTCATAATATATCAATGTTTATATATCAATGATCATGATTTTCACTGAACTGTATTAAATTCTATTCCTATTCCTATTCGTAGTCTCCTGGACATAGTCAGAAAATCATTGAGCCAACAAGGCCACCCTACAGTGGTCAGTGTGATTGCCATTCAAAATTCCTTCCAGAACTTTCCAGATACTATTACTAGCTCTATTTTCGCAAAGCAAGGTCGTCCAACTGCTAATCAATCTTGCTATGTTTTTTTAAAATTTTGTTTTATATAAATATGTTCATAATACTGAGAATACTTAAGCCAGCAGCAATTAAGACACCTCGCAGTCTGAATAACATTGTCTTTCAAATGAAGGCTCATTCCAGATGACCGCCATTTCCGAAACATACTGGCTATGTCATTGATTTTTATATGCCAATGATAATGATTTGCAATTGTAGTAAAATTTTCAACAATTTCTATTCATAGTCTCACCTAGCCCGCGTGCAGGCTCAAGAGTTCCCTAAGTCTCACCGACCTAGTCACAATCTCGTACCCAGAGCAATGCCTGTGTGCGGGCTAGGAAGGCATTGGCTCTGGGGAAATTGACAACCGGAACCCCTAAATTTAGGGATTCCGGTTCTTTGTCGGCATGCACGATTGATAAACGTTAAACCAATCACAGCACAGGAAAAATTCAATTTCCCCAGAGCCAATGCCATCCTAGCCCGCGCACAGGCATTGCTCTGGGTACGAGATTGACCTAGTCATTCCTAGTCAGAGAATCATTGAGCCAACAAGGCACCCTACAGTGTGATTGACTTTCACAATTCCTTCCAGATAGCTGTATTTTCACAAAGTGACCTCGTAATCAATCTTGCTATGTTTTTTATTTTATATATCACTGACTTGTTATTTGATATTAGTAATTTGTATTCACAGCACAGAAAATGATTAAGCGAGCAAGTAACTACACAGCGGGACTGATTTTGAAGTGAAAATATGTTTAACAAAGAAATTCCTTTACACTACAAAATTACACTACAACATACAGCGAATCGAAAACTACCATAGCTAGACATCATGTCGATATCTTTGTCAAAAAATGCAAATCTTGTGCTGTGTTTTTGCAAAAAAAAAGTTATTATTGTGGATACTTTGAATATTTGGCAGCATTTGGATCATACATACGCTAGAATTTTTCTGTGTCGTTTTATAATACTGCTCATTTGGTTCAATGTTTAAGAAGAATCTTTACTAAATGTTTTACAGGAGTCAAATAAAGGTACAAAAGCCACCTATTTGGATAAGAACTGATAAGAACAGGGATCGGTATTATTAAGTGTCTAATATTTTCTTTATTTTTAATTTAAGAAAACAGCGAGTAAATATGGCATCGAATTATCCACTCGGGTACGATGACGAAAGATTCCAGTCGATAGTGAACCAAAATTTCCACTGTTTGATTTGCTATAACGTATTGAAAGACCCCGTGATGTGCCGCAAAAACGAGCACCATTTTTGTCGTGGCTGCATCACAGAACATCTTCGCAGGAATTCCCATACATGCCCAACGTGTGCTGACGAGCTGAGTGTCGAAACATTGCAAGACGTTCCAAGATTTGTGAGGAATTACTTAAACGAACTAAGTATACGTTGTGATCATTACGACAGAGGATGTCGAGAACTCGTACAGCTGCAGAATTTAAAGCGACATGTCGCCGAATGCAGGTTTACTCCAGTCGTTTGTGGAAATCAAGGTTGTGGTGAGACAATCAGTAAAAGAGATGGTACATATCACGAGAGTGAACAGTGTAAATTTAGAAAGTTGAAGTGTCACAACTGTGGAGAAATCAGCACGATTATGGCAGGAATGGAAAAGGAAGTCGCAAACCTGAACACGAAGATGGCGAACATCAACACGAATCACGCAAACACGAATACGAACCTGACAAATATTAGAACGGAAATAGCAGATGTGAAAACGGAAATGGAAAATATCAACACGAACCAGGCAGAGATGCAAACGAAATTGGCAAACATGAACACGAACATGGGTAATATTAAGACGGAAATAGCAGATGTAAAAACGGAAATGGCAAAGACCGACACGAAAGTGGAAAACCTGAACACGAAAATGACAAACTTGCACGCAAACGTGGAAGTGAAGTTCGAAGCGATGAATAATGAAGTGAGAGGAATGAAAATGAGTTTAAATGAAGTAAAAGATGGTTTTGATCACTTGAAAGAAGCAAGTGGCGGGAGGAGAGAAAATCAACATATATTTGTTGCTGGTGGTGCGAGGAGAAACTCGGTAGAAATATTTAACAACCGTCAGAAATTGTGGTCTTTATTAAAGTCCATGCCAGGGAATCGTAACAGCGCATCTTCATTTGTTTATAATAATCATGTGACTGTAGCGGGAGGTTGGTGTGCTGCTGCTCTAGATAACATGTTCCGAATGAACATTCACCCAGTTCCTGACCTCCCAATTACCTGGAGTGATTTCGCTGCCAAACTCCCTGCCAAGATGTGTGGACACAGCAGTGTGGTGTACAAGGATAGCTTGTTGGTTACTGGAGGTTATGATGAAGACCAAGATGTCTACTCTGACTGTATTCATGAAGTCCGACTTAAACCACCTTACACTGTTAAACTAGTATCCAAGATGCCTGAACCGAGAGTTCATCACAGCACAGTACTGTGTGATGATAGTATTTTGATCGTTGGGGGAAGGAAATCAGGGAACTGCAAAGACAACCTCAGCAGTGTGTTAAGCTATGACATCAAGAAGAATGAATGTCAACAGTTACCTGCACTTCCCTATCCAGTGAGTCAAATGGCGACAGTCAAGTGGGCTGAGAATGTCGTGATCATTGGTGGGGCTGACAAGGATCATGGTAAAGCATTAAACAATGTTACAATTTATAATATCAAGACTGGAAACAGTTATATGTTGCCTCCCATGTTACACAAGAGGAGAGGGTGTATGGCAGTTGTTATTGAGAATACAATTGTAGTACTAGGAGGCGAGGATGAAAAATGGAATGTGTTGAAATCAGTTGAAGGTTTCAATTTTGAGCGATTTTCATGGCAGGAACTTCCTGACATGAAGGAAGACAGATACCTGGGTACAGCTGTTGTGATTTAGACATGATCGAAAACTATTGTGTATTTTTGTGTATATATTTTATAGAATTTTTAAACATGTATCTCAAAAGTTTTCGAATTCAGTATAGAAGATCAAAGAACAGCTTGACTGTTGTGATGTGGACATGTTCAGTATTTATTTTAAATATTATGTAGAGTAGAATGTTAGAATGACTTTTATTTTTTCCAGTTTATAACAAAGATTAAAGAACTACTTCATACCATAACCCAACCGAGTCTGGTTGTTTGATGAACCTTGAGCTGGTTCAAGTTTTTGATGAGAGTTTTTGTTTGTTTGACCAGAACATCCAGTCAACTC